GCTCTTTGCAGCATCAAACGTTTTCAAGTCAATCAACCAACTCCACTTGAAACCAATCACCCAGCCGTCCAGGGGCAAGAGACTATTGATTAGTTAGGCAAAAAATCGCCGCATGCTTTTGATAAGTTAGGCAAAAATGAAAAAGTAAAATATTAGCAAAAAATTTTGAAATACAAATTCAAAATGATCAAAACCGACTCAGTCGGTACATTTCATTAAAGTCCACCCAACCAAACGGTTGTGATGGATCAAATGTTAACCGGACTCCGTCCGGGAGAAAGAGAAATTGTTAATTAACCAGGCTCCTTAGCCGGTAAATACAAATATACTCGGCACGCAGGCCGGAAAAACAAGTTTTGGCATACTGCCGCTGAATAAAAGAAAAAGACAAAAAATAGAGATTGGCATACTGCCGCTGAAAAGTCACTTCTGGCCTGCAGGCGGCTCCTCCTGGTCCTCCTCCTCATCCTCTGAGCGTATCTCCTGCGCTTCACCCGGACCAGGTAGCTGAGGTACGAGGGGCTCATTGTTGGCATTAACCCAGGCGTCGAAGGACTCAGGCTCTGGATCACCCTTCTCTCTCAGGTACACCACGTCCTCGGCGTACCTGTGAGCCAGTGCCCGACGCCATAATCCGCGTCCGGGTACAGGGCAGCCCAAGCGATCTTCATTCGGGCGTCATTATCAGCGTCACTCTCAGCAACAAGGCGGTTTTGCTCCGCCTCCAGGGTTGCTGCAAAGTTCTTCTGAGCAGCCTCCTTCTCCAGTTTTTGAACCTTGGTCTTGAGGTTGGTGTTCTCTTCAGAAACACCCTGAAGATTGCCAAGGTCCGTCTGGGCCTTCTTGAGCGCCTCATCAGCCTTTTTGGCACTCTCAGCAGCCTTCTTCTGGGCCTCCTCCGCCTCCTTCCGAGCCGTCTCAGCATCAGTCGCCCGCTGCTTGGCCGCCTCCAGATCTGACTCCAGCTGCTAGATTCTAGACGCCTGTGTCATAATGATTGCTTTAGTTTCAAGTTCATTTACGATAGTTGAGTGTAAAGCAATATTGTCAGCGTCTATGGCGGACTTCTTGGCCCTTTTTACCTCTTCCCGTTTGCGGGAATAAGGACGTTTAAGCCCGTCCACCCGCAGCATAGCCTACAGAAAAGCAAGCGGTGTGAGTATTGCAGGCGGGATAAAACACTTGGAAAGAATAAAATTGAATTGACAAGTTTCTTACCTCAGCCAGTAGGGATAGGATGCGTTCAAGATTGAACGTCTCTATCCCAGGGATACTGTCTTTATCCCTCTTCCGGACGGCTTCCAGCATGGCCTTGGCATGCTTCTGGACGTCTGGCAGCGGGGAGATTGATCTGCACCACAATCAATACGTGATGAGTGCGAAACTAAGGCAACACCTATTTGTTGCCGGCCGTCTGAAGATGACGTCTGTTGAGAGTGGGATTTCACCCGCAAAGGCCACCCCAGCTCAAGCGGGGATTCAAAAGGGTTCTTACCTTCAGAGCCAGCCAAGCGGGAACCGCTTCCAGGCGTGGTGAACCCCTCGGTCGCTGTTACGGGGTTAACGAGGGAGAGGCCCAAGCTGCCGCCTACCTTCTCGTTTCGCCCCGCTATCCGCATCTGCTGATGCCCGACTGAGGCGCCTGCAGTTGACGCGGAGGTGGATTTTTTGATTTTGTTGAGAACGGTGGGCGTCTCCTCCCTCGCCCGTTTGAGTTGTTTCTCAAACGTCTTTCCAACCTCTCCTCCCTGCAAAAATAACCCAAGTTAAAGTTAGCATCTGGGAAAAATAATTTTAAAAGATCGACTTATAAAAGGGTCAGGCGATTGTAACCTTGGCTTTGACCTCAGCCGCAGCCTTTTCCGCAAGCGCCTTGCGGATGACTGCAGAGGATCGCTTGGGGGTTTTCTCCGTCTGCAACATGTTTAATGCTTCTTCTGCAAAAAGAAGGAAATTGGTCAATATCATAAAACAATTTCGATAGAAAAATACTACAGACGGATATAAACTCAGGCGCATACGTTTGGTAAACATGTGCCCTAGCCCGCAGGCGGCTAGGAAACACTCGTCCCTGAACCATGCGCTCTTGGGGATCCAGTTCTTGGGAACTTTTATTGTTTCCCCGGTTGACAAGGTCGCGTCTGTGAGGCCAAAAAAGTCTGCCTCAATGATCTTGTCAAAATCTTCCTCTGGGATTCGGGGAAGAGCGCACTTCCGGCCCATCAAATCGGGCTTCTTATTGTACAGACGGAATTCGTAATTCTCCCGTCTGGTTGGAGCTGACATCAGGTAGAACCTGTGTTTCCAGCCGTCGAATTTTGAGACCTTGTCCAAGGTCATCATGTATTGGGGTTGCGTGGTTAGAGTATACCACGCCCTCCAGGGCTTCTGCTAAGATAATGCATACTAGCAAAAGCCTCCCAGCCGGGGTTAAGCCCCTGGAACTCGCAGGCGGCAACATACCCCAGAATGTTTGTCCAAGAATTGGGGGTAAGTTGCCAGACTCCGAGGCCGTAGCCTCTCAAAATTGCCTTCACCGCCTGGTGGAGGGGGAAGCGGAGACCAGTCTTGAACGCCGCCTCATAACAGCCGAAATAGTTGTTGGCGTTCTCTTGATCGTCCTCCCAGGCGACGGTGCCATTCTTAGGCGGCACCCGGATCCTATACCCGTCTCCTAGCGGGTGCATTTTAGTAAAATTCTTCAAGTTTTCCTCCATTTGAATCCGGTCCTTGGAGGAGACGTGGATGTTGAAGGGATCGTCCTTCTCGTTCCATTTTTTCCTTTCTTCCTCCTCGCTGTCCGGAAGCGGGGGTAAATCGTCACTGCTCTCAGAGGTAGAGGCGGAGCTGTCGTTCTCCGTCTCCTCCTCATTTTAACTCAAGGAGGCAGAGACGGCTTCATCGCCGCCTTGGTCGCACTCTTCCAAAAAAGAGTCAGCGGGGTTGAAGGGGCGCGCGGAGGGGATCTCGACGTTTCTCCCTCAGGCGTTTGGCCGCCTGAGCCTTCGCTCCTGTAATTTGGATCAGTTGCCGTCTGCATTGTCCGAGCCATGGTGTCCTGACAAACACATAACTGGTCGGAATCCAAGGCAAAGGGTGGTCCCAACACCCCGAGACGGCACTCCCAGTCCTAGACTCAGCCGTCCCTGGTGACCGGCTGGACTCTAACCTAGGATGTGCCGTGTGTGTTGGTGATGCATCCATTTATTGCAAGAAATATGTACAAGCGGTGAAAAAAGAAAAAGAGCTGAGAGAGGCAGAGACGGTACCTATTGATGTAATATCTGAAACTAGGCGGGTCCGGCTGGGTCTCTGGAAGACGAGCTTTCTTGCTTGCGCCTGACTCAAACGGATGAATTCTGCTCTCTCACAGTTCTCTCTAGAAATTTTTTTTTAAACGTACCAAATTATGAGGGTAAACGGCTATATATAGAGGGTAAATACGGGGGCATTTCCGTAATTTACCCGGAAGGTGAACGGTTACTCTTTAATGGTAAAATTACCACCAATCGAAGCGTGACACATGTCACAGATGCCACGTGGCGTGCCACGTCACATCTGTGAGGGGCAAATGTTTTGGGTAATTTTACCCCGCCACGTGGTCCAATCAGAGGATGACACGTGTCAGTCTCAGGATGTCCCAAAGTGGACCAATCCCTGCTTGACACGTGTCACTCCAGAAATTAAGGGAAAAAGGCGGCCTTCAGGCCCAAATCCCGAGAAAGCCGCAAAGCGGCGCAGCCCACCGATGATTAGGGTTCAGTGAAAGGCCCTATAAATAGGGAGATGTCCCTCTTTTTGAGGGCACGTTTTACCATTTATTACACTCTTTACTCTTTGATAGAGACAACCTGAGCTTGGAATCCGAGCAGATCCCTACCTAAATTTCCGCACCTTTTTCTCCCTTCAAGTTTCTAACTTGTGCGTCGGAGGCGGAGCACCACCCAACCGGTGTCTCCGTTTGTTTTGCAGATACAGCTCACTCCGAATCAGTCTTCGTGTTGTAACTCTCCCGAGGGACAAAAACACCCAAAACACTGACCACTTTCAAAGATGTAGCCCTCATACTCAGTAACTTGTTCAAGGGCTTCTACAAGAGCATCATAAACTTTTTGGGGGCAATTCTCAGGTCCTGGCTTGTCATGAAGGTAAATTACATCCAGAGTGAAGAACTTTTGGTTGGCAGGCCACTGAAATCGTGGTTGCACAGATGAACGGCAATACAGCAATATCTAAAGGCATGCCAAGGGAATATTGATAAGTTAGACAAGTTGTGGACAAAATCTAAACAATTGTTGTGCTAGAAGTCTAAAACCCTCTGAATTTCTCAAGCCAGATAGATAATGTCGAAATTTTGAGACTTTTCCAGTTCGAAAGGGAGAAGGCAGAAACAAGATCATGAAGTAGCCTTAGCATATAAGGCCCATTTGTGAACCCCAATGTGCAATATGGAATGGAAACAGCAATATCTAAAGGCATGCCAAGGGGATATTGATAAGTTAGACAAGTTGCGGACAAAATCTAAACAATTGTTGTGCTAGAAGTCTAAAACCCTCTGAATTTCCCAAGCCAGATAAATTATGTCGAAGTTTTGAAACTTTTCTAGTTTGAAAGGGAGAAGGCAGAAACAAGATCATGAAGCAGCCTTAGCATATAAGACCCATTTGTGAACCCCATTGTGCAATATGGAATGGAAAATCAAGAGAAGAGGCTTGGTTCAGTAAATTAGAAACATACAATTATACAAACTACAGCAAGCAATAACACAAGTAACCCAAAATAATCCAGAAAACTAGTCCAAATGCAACATGGGTAGTCATCAATATCGGAAAATGTATGTTAATCAATCATTCAAAATCAATAGTGACAATTTAGGTGGAGGTCTAATATTAATAATTCATGTTATCTGCACAATCAATCAGCAAAGATTGCTGACAAGCAATCACAAGATCAAACTTTTCAAATTCAATGGTAATAATTGAACTCAGTTAGTCACTTACCACTCTTAATATTCGATTTTGAGACCGAGATTTTTTGGCTTGGTGAGCAGCAACTCGAAACAACTGGGTAAGGTCTGCCTGACCTCCTGATGAGCTCACAGACAACCCCCGAAATGCAGTGATTGCAGAATCAACTTCACTTGTAAACTCCTTTCTCACCTTCAGAAACAGAATACAACAGGTTAAATTTAACTTCTGGAGAATACATTAACACCCTTACAGCTAAACGAAACACCAAACCCACTCCATCAATAAGAAAAGGAGAATGCAAGAGGCATTGTAAAAATTGGGAAGAACATTTCTGATCACCAAACAAAACATCAAAATTTCAATACCCAGAAAGCAAAATTCTCAATAACCCTCAATCAGATTCAACAACACAATCAAGAAACAACATCAAACCACCAACCCCATCTGGGTAAACACTCGATTACCAATCAATTGAACAATTAATCATTTTATAACCAAAAAATGATTGAAATAAACAAGATTAGAAAATTACCCAAGAAGCAGAATGAGAAAGAGAAGCAAAGGCAAAACGATGATTGGGATTAATGGTGAGTTTGGCATGGATGAATAAGAGAATGGATTGTTTGATAGAATCAAGTCGGGTAATGGGTCGTCCATTTGGGCCAGTGTTCTTCATTTCAACCATACTTTCGTTGTCAACATCAATACAGAAAAGTATGTCTTCGTTGCTGTATCGATTTGCTTTCAATGAATACGCTGCTCCGCCTCTTCCGCTGCCCTCCAACACTTGAACTTCCATTTTTCTCTATCCTCTGATTCAGTGATTGGGGCCTTTGGGGGTGTTTACCAGCTCTTTTTAATGTTATTACTCCAGAAATGATGAGCTTTGTCAAAAAAACAAAAAAAAAACAAAAAAAAGTTGGAAACTTGGAGGAGCCTAGTTTATCTTGTGGCAATTCCAAATAAATTAACATAAAATTTCAGCCATCATAGCAATTCGGTAAATAAATCAGCATTCAGATTTAATAAAAAGTTGTTGATTAATTAATCGAAATACAATTAGATAAACATTTTTTTAATCATGAAATTAAACTTATATTTTCTTGGAAATTTGCACCAAAAAACAAAATAATTGAGGTAACAAATTCACACTTGACATGTTTTGGTTGGGGATGGCAACGGGTCGGACTCGGAGCGGATTATGCTAAATCCAACTCCGACCCGACAAGAAGTCGGAGGTTAAATCCGACTCCGACTCCGACTCCGACATCCGACTCCGACTTCAATATCCGACTCCGACTCCGACTCCGATCCGACCCGACATTGAGTTTTTTTTCATTATTTAATATACTTTGAGATGTTGGGCTATTTGGGCCTTTACAACCCTCACCCAATGCCACCACCATGACCCACACAAAAATCCACTATCTATTGGAGTCGGAGTCGGATAATCCGTTAAAGTCGGACATTTGTCGGAGTCGGATTTTTTTTTCTCGGATTTTTTGTAGGATCCGACTCCGACCCTCCTCCGACTCGGAGTCGGATTATTTTTACGGAGTCAAACTCGAATTACTTTTTTCTCGGACTCGGAGCGGATATTTTACCTCGGATCGAGGCGCAGTAGGGTCGGATCCGGACTAGATTGTCATCCCTAGTTTTGGTGCTGAAAACTGCTCTAAGATTTTTTGGGTCATTTTAGGTTTAACGGGTATAATTTGAGGTCAAAATGACCAAAAACTTATCGAAAACACCTCGTTATTAGTGCATTATGCAAATTGAGATTTTTGAATTTTACAAAACGAGGCAATTTTTGTACTTTTTATCAATTTTGACGTCAAATCGATTACTTTGGTCCAAGTACCTTAAAACCTCTAAAGAATATTTTTTGACTCCAAAATCAAAGAATTTTTTAAAAACAAGATACGGTCCGCAATATTGTAAATTTTTTTCTCTAACCATAGGGTCTATAATGGCATTTTGGGTATTAGGCTACACCTCAATAATTAGATCTGTAGGCAGCGAGAATGGAAACACCGAAACATGCAAAACCCACTAGCCGATTCGTGGGCTGCAAGGTATAATGAATGAACCTGCCATTTAGGTATTGCCGCAAATTCGCAATATTCTATATTCATATTCATATATTCTTCTCAAAATTAATTACGAGTAATTTTTATACGAAACATGGCAGATTGGGGTAATATACCCAACGACATTGCCACAATCATTGCTGAGCATATCCTATTCTTAGAAGACTTTGAGGCTTTCGGCTTGTTGGAGAACAGCAGCCAAACAAGCCAAGTTTCGAGCCAACATAAACCTATTTTCCCCATCTTCACCTAAACACAAGTGGGTATGGCTAATGCTGCCCGAATTCGATGATACCTCGAACGAACGCCGCTTTTACAGCCTCTATAACCGCACAGTCAACCTCCCTCTGTCGTCGAACCCCAACAACAACGACATTAGGCTGTTATCTTCCCATGGATGGTTACTCTCTGTCTCTGACGGCGGTGATAATCTGTGTATTGTCAACCCGTTGTCTAATGCCATAATAAACCTTCCTCGGGTTAGGTTCTGGAACCATCATTGCAATTGTTTTAGTTACTATACATATAGCGTTAGACGATATGAGAAATTCATCTTATCAGGAAACCCATCCTCGTCTACTGATTTCACAATCGCCCTCGTTTTGGCCGAGCCTTTTGCTAACCTATGTTGCCGTCATGAGATCATCTCATTCTGGAGGAACGGCAATCATCAATGGGAACCACTTTTGGAGAACGGAGATAGTAAATTCGTAGATTTCTATAATGATATTATTTTTTACAAGGGAAACTTTTATAGCGTTGATGATGGTGGAAGTGTGGAACCATATGGTGTTACGAACTAGACCACTCAGGTTGTCCTCACGAGCGGGAGGTTGCTGTTCTTAAGAGCCAGTTGCCCAATGATTATTCGCCCTACCAATGGCCTAAAAAGATGAGTGTAGTATACTACTTGGTTGAATCAGAGAATCGATTGTTGATCGTTTGTAGGGTCAGAGTGAAGGACGATACATTCAAGGTATTCGAGGTGAATGTTGACAATGGGGAAGTTAAGAGTGTTCCTAACTTGGGGGATGTAGCGATTTTCGTGGGTTGCAACTCCTCCTTTTCAACAAAGGCGTCTGCTACTCATGGCATCAAACACAACTCTATTTATTTTACTGATGATTATAGGCCAGCACGTGATTTTGGAAGAAGATTAAAGTCCAAAAGCGGAGGCTTTATTGAAATGGGCATCTTCAGTTTGACAGATGAAAGTTTTCATCAGCTTGATCTCGTTGAACCACCACATTTTAGTGAATATGCACCATATTTGTGGCTTGAGGATCCAAGCTTATGATCTATGATTGTTCTCCTATTGAATTTTAATTAGGTATATAGCACCTATTGTTATTCAGATTCTACCAAAGTATCAATAAAAACAACTTTTGTTTGCCACTTTTCTTTTTCTTTGGGTATGACTTTATAGAAGCTAATGTGTCCTTATTTCAATGTTGAAGTCGTATCATATATTCATTCATGATTTTCATATAGGCAACATTATCACCCCCAGATAATCTACTCAGTAAAAATTACAGGTGAATTTAAAACTATGAGTGAATATACTCGAATTAGTGAGGAAGGAGTTTCCAAATTGATGCAGTGAAACTGAGAAAATATGTGTTGTCTATCTATCTATGCTTGTAAATATGTTGAATCTGGAATTGAAAGTTCTTGAAACCTCGTTCAGAATTGGGAATAGGGATTATCTGATCAGCTCTCATATGTGATATACTTGTATGAAAAAAGCATTAAAAGGTCCTTAAAGATCTTAAAGAGGAAACAAGAAGAAAACAAAATGGAAGACAGAAATATAATGCACATCATTTGAAGTTAATAGCAAGTTTAATTCACTCACAAGAACAACCAACCAACAGCAATACATCATACAGAGTCACTTAGAAATATACTAATGCACATCATTTGAAGTTACTAAACATTACACTTTACACTTGCTGAACTTCATCAATAAAAAGCCATCAGTTAAAAGCTCCAGAATTTACATAGTGCCAACTTAGAAACAGAGACAGGGAAGCCTAGATAACTTAGTACATGAAAATTAGAAAAGCAGCAGCTGTCTCTTTTTATCTACGATACAATGTCTGAAGATGACAACTACAACAAATATTCAAAACATCGGTTGAATGCCCGAACTACCTAGTCAATCGATATTGTCATTGGCTGGACACAGTGATGGTATCTTCAGCCTGAGCACCATCAGCTGTCGGCAATTTCTTAGTCAGTGACATGGGTAAATCAAGGTCATCTTGCAAGCAACGCTGCTGAGGGTGTGACAACAACAAGCACATGTGACGGAAAAGAACGCGTTGAAGGCCCTGACCACTTTCAAAGATGTAGCCCTCATATTCAGTAACTTGTTCAAGGGCTTCTACAAGAGCATCATAAACTTTTTGGGGGCAATTCTCCGGTCCTGGCTTGTCATGAAGGTAAATTACATCCAGAGTGAAGAGCTTTTGGTCAATAGGCCACTGAAATTGTGGTTGCACAGATGAACGGCAATACAGCAAGATCTAAAGGCATGCCGAGGGGTTTGAAGATGAGTTAGACAAGTTGCGGACAGAGTCTAAACAAATGATGTGCTAGAAGTCTAAAACCCTCTGAGTTTCCCAAAAAGCCAATAGGTTATGTCAAAGTTTTGAGACCTTTCCAAGTTTGAAAGAGAGAAGGCAGAAAAAAAGGTTATGAAGCAGCCAAAGCATATAAAACCCATCTTGGTTTAGTAAACATAAAATTATACCAACTCCAGCATGCAATAACACAAGCACCCAAAATAATCCAGAAAACTAGGTCAAATGCAACATGGGTAGTTAATAATTCAAAATCAAAAGTGACAATTTAGGTGGAAGTCTTAACTATGATTCACGTTTATCTGCACAATCAATCAGCAAAGGTTTCTGACAAGCAATTACATGACCAAACATTTCAAATTCATGAACAGTACACTGTACGAAATTCAATGGTTAATAACTGAACTCACTTACCACTCTTAATATTCGACTTTGAGACCGAGATTTTTTTGCTTCATGAGCAGCAACTCGAAATAACTGGGAAAGGTCTGCCTGACCTCCTGATGAGCTCACAGACAACCCTCGAAATGCAGCGATTGCAGAATCAACTTCACTTGTGAACTCCTTTCGTACCTTCAGAAACAGAAAACGACAGGTAAATTTAACTTTTAAATAACACCCTTAAAGCTGAATGAAACCCCAAACCCACTCCATCCATAAGAAAAAGAGAATGCAAGAGGCATGGCAAAAATTGGTATTTGTTCTATTAGACTTGCATAAGTTAATGCCAAGCTGAAGGAGAACTAAAACAATCCCAAAGGGTATATCATTAGATTGATAGTTATAATTTATTATCATTGACTCTCTCAACTACTACGGCATAAACCCAGTCAACCAATCAATCATAGCTGCTACAGCTTTTATAAGGAAGTGAAACATGCAAATATCCCACAGGAACCTTCTTAATACTCCAACCATAAAGCCATTCTTTATTCAGCAGAGGTTGTCATCAAAGTAATTACAAGTTGAGACCTAACTGAGAAACAACTAATTTCACAGCTTGCTCGTGCTTACTGGCTTAGACATAAACTGAAGGGATAACAATTAATCTCAGGTTCACTTCTCAATAAATGAAAGCAATAAGGCCATGCCCATCCCTTTTGAGCCGAGAAATGATTCAAGAGAGGAGCTGAACACAGCAATGTCAAGCGATAGATAAGTGAGGCTTCATCTATCTCATGCACACTGCACTCAATTACATTTCTAGTGTTCCAAATGAAGCCCCATAGAAAGTATCAAGCATTATTGACTCACAAATGAGAA